ACATAAAAGTTCTTGTCTATGAACAGTCTGATTTTCATATAATATTAACATCATGAGTCAAAATAGACTGCAACAACATAAGCTAACATAGGTCAAATCATTTTGATGTGTAATCTAGCAATGACAGTAATCATGCGGCGGTACTGGTCTGTAACAACAACATAAGCTAACATAGGTCAAATCATTTTGATGTGTAATCTAGTAATGACAGTAATCATGCGGCGGTACTGGTCTGTAACAAGCCCAGCGAAGCAATCGGACTTTTGTTGTCAAACAATGAATGAGTTTCCAGTAATTTGATCCCTCCCCAAACGCAATGCATGCATGGATTGCCAAGGGGCAAACAAAGTGTGATCTACAAGAGTTTGTATGGCGGAAATTCGTATTTTCATGTTTATCGCTCGATTTTTCAGTGGATATGGAACTTTTTTACGCCGTTTTTACGGGATATTATTAGGAGGAAGTTGTACAATCTGGATACGTAAGTTTAGAACGATATATGTAAAATTATAGGCGAAAAACTCGATTTTCTTTCGCAATTCGCAGTGTGAATGTACACAGTAACACTTCGCTCACGGACTTAAAATAGTGAGATTTTTTGTCAAGATAAATGCATGATTGCTCAATAAAATCATTCTATATATATTCTACAGTGTGTGAAACATTGTTATCGAAAATTCGAGGGTTAGGGTGAGTTTTTTGACCTCTAGAATGTTAACTTAAGAAAGATCTAAAATACATATTTGTATCCCGCGTTCCGGTGAAGGAAATTGTTTATATATTGCTGTCGCTGTATTGCTTTGTGTTTGAACAAAAAGTGACCAAGGACACGCGGAATTGTAGAGCTTATATGGTTGTTTGATTGAGGCAAATGCACAGGTTTTTGAGCCGCTTATATTTACTGCACGATCAGTAGAACAACATCTCATTTTGTCCTCATCGTCCTCATAAACAATGTTGGTGTGCTATTATTAGAGCACACTTTGGTACTTTTTGTTACCTTAAATTGTGCTTTGTTTATTGCTCTATCCCACGACAAGATTTCTTTCTTATTTTTTTGGGGGAAAAAAACTCAAAATACCAACATTAGAAATAATTTTTTACCTTTCTGGATACATGTACCTCCGATGGTTGTCACAACCACACACAGAACAGTGGTGATCGCCTTTTGGCATATTAATTTTGGATAATATTTTAATATCTAAAGTTTGTAGTGTACAGTAACAATGTTTCACACACTGTAGCATATGTGTAGAATGATTTTATTGAGAAACCATGCATTTATCATTTATTTAGTCCGTGAGCGAAGTGTTACTGTGTACATTCACACTGCGAATTGCGAAAGAAAATCGAGTTTTTTGCCTATAATTTTACATATATCGTTCTAAACTTACGTATCCAGATTGTACAACTTCCTCCTAATAATATCCCGTAAAAACGGCGTAAAAAGTTCCATATCCACTGAAAAATCAAGCGATAAACATGAAAATACGAATTTCCGCCATACAAACTCTTGTAGATCACACTTTGTTTGCCCCTTGGCAATCCATGCATGCATTGCGTTTGGGGAGGGATCAAATTACTGGAAACTCATTCATTATGTTATTGGTGACATTCGGTGTTCAAACATTTCTTGTTTGATATAAGCTGTAGCGAACCATTGTATGACGTATATGGAAACAAACTAAATTTTAAAAATCTGCAACATGGAAACGATTTAAAAAAGGTAAAAAAAGTTAACCTTTAAAAACCGAGACAAATTAATAGTGTTGAACCTCGTTTTCATGGATAGCACCAATGTGAGGCTGAAATCCCCCTATATCACAAATCCTATACCACAATGTGATTGTACAGCGTACCCAATCTGAAAGACCAGACATTATACTATACAAATTAAGTGTCAGACCATTTCTGTCCGGTGAGTTGTGCTTTGAGTTACTTTTTTGGGTTCAGCTCTTAGACTATAATATGTTTTAACAAAAGAAATAATAAAGATAATCAAAAAAATCAATCCAGTGTACAATAAGTTTTATAAGTTGTAATACGCTGTTGTGTATTTCGTGGGATTTGAAAATCACTCCAAATTCATATAATGAAACGTTGGTAATTACTAATATAAAAGACCAACAATGGTCCGGTTTTATCAGATGTGCACTCCCCTACACCCTGTAGAAGTTCTGGTTGCGGCCTTGGTGTTCGTCCAAGCACGTGTGGGATAGGCTTATACATTGATACGATTAACAAAAGGATTAATTTTAACCATTCTAACGAATTGTAGAATATAAAAAGATGACAGAGGAGACAATCACAAATAAGAAAATTTACTCTGAAGAGAGAAACACATGTCTTTATGGCGACACGACATATTCTTGGGCACAACTTCAAACAGGAAACTATTATGTGACGGATGTTTTTGCAGCTGGTGTATGCATTCTGCCAGATGAATATGACCAAGTCAAGTATAGAGAATTTGTTAACTTGTATGGAACGGTAAGAGGGCAATCCCTAGACAAATTGCAGACCCGGGGMTGGGTTGGGTTTTACTACCACCTCAACTTGACTTGGGTGGGACAGTGCCGTAAGGACTCTGCCCTTATCCCAGACCTAGATTTTCCTTTCTCCATACCCTAGCTACCCCTGACTAAACCTAAGAATTGAACACCGTTTTTCATTGTTTCTGTGTCGAAAAAAAGTGTTTTACATTCCAGACTAAACAGACCAAAAATCAGCCTCTTTTCAGGCCAAAACGATCAAATTGTAATCCCATCCCGGATAAATGCCATAGCCTCTCCGCGGTATACAATATAGTAAATGTACCCCCTCCCCATTCATTCGGATTGCATATCTCCTCCATTTTGAAAGTTTGAAAGTCCATTTCAATGTTTTTTATACTATTGTATTGTTTTTTCTCAGCATGTTGTTATAAAGTCTCATTTGGGAACAAAGACAATAAAGGTCTTTGAGGCTACGACCGCGGAGTTTACAGAATTTGCTTTACAGCAGGTATGGTCCAGAGTTTTGTCTGTAAATTGAATTTATAGTATATTTACAAATCATTAACAAACTCTGTTAACTAATCAACTTTTCCAATATCCAAAACTATGCATAAAATCAAATGCAGTGGTCGTCTGATTGGTTAATGAGCTCATGAATTATCAGAGAGTTTGAAAAATTCATCACGTCAATTATAGCAACTCTGTTCCATTTACTCGCTATTTAAAATATTTTACCGTTTGATTTTCTTAATGTAATGTATCCTATTATCATCAAATATACTGAAAGGGGCTTAGTAGCAATGTGCACAAGAAGTACCTTTTGCTCGGCAATATGTGCCAACTATCAAAATGTGAGCAGCTTCGCTGATTAGATCGAAATGCAAGTTTCTTCGAATTGCTCTGTAAGTTATTTTTATGCGAAAAGAACATTTCATCGTTATCAATTCTAGAAATCTATTAATCACTTGAGTTACCTTAATGCTCATTTATTTGTAGAATAAGGCTTCCGTTTCTGTCGAAGGAGGGTATGGACCAGTCAGTGCTTCACTTTCCGTTGACTTCGACAAGTTAAAAAAATCCACGAAAGCGGGCTGTGAATTTGGATCAAAAGAGACTGAGTTTACCATTGGCACAGAAGAACGACCTGAGCCTATAAAAATTGAATTGAAACCACTTACTGACCTTTTTGTGAAGGAGATGTATAAAGAAGAAAGTTTAGAGARAGCAAATTGTGTTTTGGAAGAAGCGACACTGGAAACAAGGAAAGGCCATCTATTGACCTTCTTCTCGGATTACCCGCAGCTCCTCCACGTTGTGTTACCCGCAAGTAAGTATAAGAAGCCATTACAAAAACAAATAGACGGCCCCGCACTCCCCTGAAAGTATTCAAAGCCGCCCCCAACTTTGACTTTGCTGCACCTTTTACCCAATATTAAGGTATAATCACGTGATTAGATTCTCAGTATATCATTGGCTAATGGCATTATGAATTATTAATGAGTTTGATAATATATCTTATAGATCAAACTGTTACGCTTGATTTGAACTGGCCGAAAGGTACCTATGGACTTCCAATGCCAGACGGAGGATGCCCTGCAGGTAAAGATTTCACCTGGCACGAAGGAAAATTCCTTCAGGATAACGAGGATGACGAAAATTGGCAAAAAGGAAGCCCAGGAAATCACTTAGGGATAGGACTCGGAAGAACACTTAAAAATTCACAGCAACGGTTCTGCGTTAAAACTCAAGTTACACCAGATAATCTTATATGGCCCAGAGGATCGTATTGCATCAACAAGAAGGGTGATTGCCCAAATGGTAATTACAATGGTTGAAATAGAATTATACCTCGGTCAGTTGTCTCCTTCAAGGTTTCCTGAAACATCTTGAAGGCTAGCCGTACCTTTGCATAGAACGAAGACGAGCGTTGAGTGTGCAATGACAGAAGAATTCATATCTATCGATATGCCTTTGGGCAGGAAAAAGAGTTCTCACACTTATCATTTTCCATACACAGGGTTTACAGCAGGGAAGGTGACATGGAATGACCAGAAATATTACATCAACAACAATAGGAAATCAGGTGCTCTCCCTGATGGCGACCAATGGAAAGGAGACAACCCCGGCACTAGAGTTGAATATTGCTGTCGCACAGACGATTACCCTGAAAATGAAATCTTTTTGCCCTTCGACAAACCCTTTTTGTTGTATATGGCTCCAAATAACCATGAATGCCAGCGGGTCTTTAAGATGGATGTGCAAGCGGAATGGTTTAGTTGGAATACCGAGGATGATTCTTCTGTAAACAAAATTGAAGGAACTGTTCCCAAAGGAAATTATGGTGAAAATGTCAAGCAATTTTACTGCTATTACACACCTCAACCTTGAACCCAAACATTCATCCATTGAAAATAACAGTTTATTATTATATTCCCATGAAGATGCCATTGTATAATCGACATTTACAAAGTAAATCAGATGAAGAAATGAGAAAATAAATATTTAATTGCTGTACGTTTGTTCATATTGCATCATCAAAGCTAAGGCCGAAAGAGATCATGGGAAAGCAAGTAATTCGAGTAAAACAGTACTTTAAAGATTGCCTGCACTGAATTATGCACCAAACCTTTTTTTTTTTTTTTTTTGCAGCGCGATTTTCGCGCGATAATCGCCACTTTGCTATCGCGCAACTCAAATCGTACGTGGAGACAGCCTTGCGATTGTTGCGGCGATCTTCGCGCGAGATCATTGCAAATTAATAAAATAAATGCAATATTAAAATCTTAATCGTGCAAATTTTCCTCAGTCCGGTAGAGATGGTAAGTGTCGTACCTTTTTGCACTTCAGGCAATGGTAGCGCGACGAGCGGGCGCAATGTAGTGAAACAATACACAGGGCTGTATATCTCATATTTCATACTTCGATATCGAGTTCTACTTTGATGCTCTGTGTTGGCCTCAAAACAAATCTCTTTTGTTTATCTGCGGTCGCATATAAAACAATGCCTGGCCCAAATCACATGACTAGGTGACGTGAACAAAAACGCGTGCCAGTTCTGGTAATTTCGGTTCGATCAGGGACTATCTGAAAATATATTCAATATTTCAATAATTCCTCAGAGAGCAAAAACACTAAAAGTGTGCAAAATAAAGATTACAAAACAGTCAACTCTCAAAGTCATAGGATTCCTGTCAGAAATATGATTTGTCAAAAAGAGCTCTTAGGGAACAGGAAAAACAGAGTTGAACCCAAAGTTCATGATCTAAACTACTTTATGTTAAGAAATTTTCCCATTTATCATATAATTATCTATAAAAAAATCTCTATATATCACATGTCAGGGAACTATGGCTATTACACAAAGATATCGTCTTACATTTTCGACTATTCAGGGTGGCCAAGTGTTTTTCATGGTGGTTCAAGACTGTCGATTAATCATGTTATTCGAACGAATTAAAAATTCACTCCATTTGCTTTTATCGTTACAGTCAACAAGGCATGAAGTGCGCCCTCCGAATAGTTCGTTATTCAATGTAGTATTGGATTTTCATTTTATTTTTCGTTTTCAAACTTCAGTTGATTAATGCAAAATTAAATTCAAATCTCTAACTTTGATGATGACAGAAAACAACACAGCATTTCCAGCTTAATTTTGAGACCGTCATTTCTTTCTCACGAGAAGGAACAGATCCGCCGTTCAAATTACCAGACAGCATATTACAGTGCATCGACTTGTGGAAATTACAAAAGACCAGAATGTTTACAAGCGAAATAAGAAGAAGGCTTTATGTAAAATCCGATCAACAATCCAGTCAAATTTCAACTTTGATAATGTAATATTTAATCGACCAAGAATTGAATAATGGTGTTTCAAGAGGGCGCGCTTCATGTCTTGTTAGACCTTGTTATACGTGCATAATATATTCAATCTCCGTAAGACCCTGTCTTCTTTATAATTGATGGGTGTTTTGATAATATCGCGACGATCATCTGTGCCATACGATATATGGGAATTCGTGTTTACCCATGTAGCATACTTGAAGATTTTAACAATGATGAATGTCAATTCAGGATGAGACACTAAAAGGACAATACACTACCAATAAGCCAAGTTTATGAAAAACGCTGTGACACCCTGTATTAGGACATGGACGCTCCTAGTAATGGGCTCCTGATTTTTTTCTTCAAACTGTCTTAAAATCTTCAAGTATGGTACATGCTAAAACACGAATTCTCATGTATCGCATGGCAGGAATGATCGTCAAATTATCAAAACACTCATGAATTATAAAAGACAGAAGTCTTACGAAGGTGGGTGTGTCAACATAGGCGTTTTACCAGCAATAGATACCTGCTAAAAATGATTATATTATGGACGTTAACGATAAAAGCTAATTAAACACGGCTGATTTAATGGACAATGGAGTGAATTTTTCCATGAGTCTCTATGAACACTTGGCCACCCAGGATGCTCGCCAATGTAAGCCGAACGGATGGCTTTGTATAAGTAATAGCCATACTTGAACAAGTACACCAGAGCTTGAATCGATTTTTGAGCCAATCACAGCGTGATTTGCAATAAAAAACACTTGTACCACTGATCCATGTCACACTGATGTCAACCCAAAACGACATGATATGACCCTATGAATTGAATAATTTCTTTTGTTTGAGATGTAAGTACGAGGAAATTCCTAGAAATGACATATGACTGCTCGCCTTTGTAATTCTCGGAAATGGGGCGTCCTGTAATATTATTGTAACTGTATTAAATTGTAGAGCGGTCTCAAACACAACTGATCGACACTAGGTCACGTGCATATCAATCAGTTCACTAATCATTAACTAATATCACACGTCCTTATGATTTGCATATAGTCACGCAAGCTGATTATTTGCATGAACACGCACTAATTAAAACCCACAGAGGTCAAATCACGCATTGTATACAATGGTAACGGTAAATTCTAAATGTTCGTGCTTTAGAGTATGAATTTTTTTTTCAAAACAGACAAATCAGTTTCCGTAATATGTAAATGTCAGAGCAGTCTTGCAGTTTACAATAGTGGGGCCAATACTATTTTACTAAATAAATTAAATTTAGTTCCCTTAATGATAGGTAAATGTCAGAGCAGTCTTGCAGTTTCAATAGTAGGTCTTCAAGGCTGGTCCAGTCCGTCCGATCAGCATGAAGTTAGTTATACTATTCGTATAGTTGACCAAAATCGACAAGTGCAGATTTATTGGGGGAGGGGTAGGGGGTGATCAGAGTCGCTTGCCATCCCCGCCAGTCAAGTGTTCAAAGGAAAAAAACAGATATGTGAACAGCTGATTTGCGAATTTCGCCTCAGTAGTCAAACACAAAAGAATCAAGACGAGGCGCCGTGCATTAAGCTCAGCCAACTGTGAAAAATGTTTGTCTTTTCACGAATGGCTGAGCTTTATGTACGGCGCCTCGTCTTGATTTCTTTGTGTAGGTAGGTAGCAACTTTATTTAGAGAGGGTAGCACTAAATAGTGGAAACCACTAATAAACTTGTGGCCCTCAATTGTGCGTGACGTGACTGAGGCGAAATTCGCAAATCGTCTATAATTATGATAGCATATAAAATATTTTTTTTTTTATTGAATTAATTTATTTGACAAAATAAAAATAATGATAATAATATTATAAAATATTTTTTGAATAAAAATTATAAAATTTATTTAGAAATAGCTATTACATTTTTCATCTTATGCTAATTTATTTCGATATTTTTATATTTTTTTAGAATGATATATTATATTGTATAACCCTATAGTTTAATATTAAATGCGTATATTCTAAATCGTATTTTATGATTATCATAATCAATATTCTTACTTATTGTTGGTATTATCATGCAATTAGATTTTAAAATAGTATTATATTCAGAAATAACTTCTTTGAAAAGCAAATTTAGAGTCCTAGTTTCATCCGACTGTGAAACAATTACTACTAGTCAATCAGTGTTTCATAGTAACTATTAGGGTGTAGTAGCCTACCAAAAGGCAAAATCAAAACCGTGTTTGCCTAATTAGTTTTTCGCATGTCATAGAGTGGTTTTCATTAACCCGTGAAACACACCTTAGCGTATTTATCCCTATTACACTTTGGCTCTTTTGTTTTTTATTGWCTCTACGCGACTATTWCGATYTATTACACTCTAATTATTACACTTTGTTTCACGGGTTTATGAAAACCACTCTAAGTTAAACTATTGGGAGCTAATAGGGGGTAATAGTACAATTCCTATTTCACCTACGGACGAAAATGACCCTAAAATATTAAACTATCTTACTAAAAAAATTAGATTATGTATTTTATAAATGGTGAATATTTAGCAAATTTATAACGCAATTAATTTAGCTCGACTTATTTTTTTTATTTACCTAGCAGGTTAAGTTTAGGGTTTGTCACATTTAAAATATTATCATGACACGCAATATATAATTCAATCTTTTAGTCGGCGAGAGAAGGTAATAAAAATGAGAAAAAAAAAACAGCACTTTTTCGGCGCCTTTTCTTCTTTTTCTATTCTCGATGTAAACATCACGAATACGCCATGGTTCAAATTTTCACGGCACCACCGATCAGCAGTCAAAGTTCATTTTGTGTGACAAATTCTGGGTGGTTGATTTGCGACCAGGCCAGCATATGAATTCGCCAAGGTTGTAAGCCAGTGAGCCCGTGCATTTTTGTTTTGCTTAAAAGCGGTCATATAAAGAAAAGGGAAAACCCGCAGCTCGCCTTTCATTCAGAAAAACAGTACAAGTCGTGTTAAATTTATTTACATAACTAAACAAAATGATTATAGAATTAAACCTTTAAGAATTGAATGCTCATGAAACATTTTACACCTTAAATACACACGTGTTTTTCAGAAGGGAATTTAGTCGAAGTTTTTCACGATGGATTTTTGTTTTGAGTCGTTTCGACATAAACAGTCGCTATCAAGHCATTACACGAAAAACCCCAGTCACCGTTCTAGCTCTCATTGTAAGGTCAAAGCTAGTAAATGTGTAACTGAATCTGTTACATAACGACCATAACGGATGAACTACGACAGTTGTTTGTACCAAAAATAACAAACGCTTTAACTCTGTTGGAATACGTGGACCTAAAGCTGCTCTATAGCTCTTCCAGTGATGTTGTAGATACCTCAAAGCTTAGAGGAAACAAGAGCTAAGAAGATTTGCCATGGCTCCTCCTAAGATAATTTGGACGCTTCAACAACCATCTGAAGTCTTCGTGAAGTCGGCCATTGCAATGGAGAACCCGCGTAGAACACAGACCAATTATTTTTATCAGGGAGGGGAGTCTCGTGGTATAAAAGAAAAAAATATTTGTTACTTCATTTTTAAGATAAAATTCAATTTCTATAACGATAAATATTTGATTGAAATTTAAAAGCTATTTTATAAAGATTTTCAATTTCTCTTTGCCTTTTAGCTTCGATTTTTCGGATAGAATAAAATGAMAGGCAGCCTACTCCACTGGGTCGAGTTTTGCTGTGCAAATTCCTCCCGTCGGGGGGTTATGTTTACAACATAAGCTTGTCAGCTTTGCGCTGATTGGCTAGTCGCATTTTCTCAAATCACCCAGTTCATGGATTTATCATAAGAAATTTTGTTCCTTAAAACTGTCTTATATAAACTTATATAAACTTTAAGT